GGAAATTCCGCGTCGTTTACATGACTGTCATCGAAGAGATCGATGTCTACATCGGTTTGAAAAGTGGTCTTAAAGTATATAATAAACAGTAATATCACGTAAACTCTTAAAATCATTTTTCACAAATACTTGCCATAAATGAAATGAAACCAAATGTTTGATCTCTTTATAATTATTTCAATTAGTTTATATGTCTAAATATGATTTGCTTCACTCAATCCTATTTCCGTTATAAAATTCTAGCTTAAAATATTGCACAAATGTTTGTGTAATATATTTTGTACAACACTTATCATTAATAACTACAGATTTGTGTCGAAGTTAACATACTTTCTCCTAATTGAAGGTAAATATTTTGTGACATTTTTGTTTAATAGAGCTATTTTGACAACTTTATGATAGAAATGTTTTACATATAATTAATAATGGGTTGGGTTAGGGGCTCACCAAATATAAGCACAAAATTATAATTCTGTGCTCAAACTCAACATTTAAATTTTCAGCATAATATTTAAGATATTTGTGCAAGTCCATTTCTAATTTTAAACATGTATGCTTACAACTTAAAATAGTTTTAATTTAATCATTACCAACTTATTTATCAAAATACTATATCATCATGATCAATTTTAATTACTATAAATTCAATTCAATCGATTGATAAAAATTATTTATATATGGTTGAAAAGTTTTTACAATGGCTTATTAAAAATAAATTTGAAGTTAACATCATTTGAAACATATTACAGTTAATACTATTTAAATTTTATACGCTTTAATACAATAACAAACGAGACAAACTTTTTCTCATATTTTGTAACAAATAACACGTTTTCAAAAACAATTAAAAATTATAAAAACTCAAACAATATTTAAGTTATAACTTATAACTGTAATACTTGTACAGTATATGAAACTAAATTATACAGTAATTTAATAAATAAGCGTTAACTCAACCAAAACGCCCATCAATTCATAAGTAATGCTTAATTACTACAACCTTATGATTGAAATAAATAATTGCATAACTCTTACTCATTAGTACTGTCATTACACTTACATCATATAAATACCTGTAAAAGTAATCATGGTCTAATTGTTCAGCTATATTACATGTACACTATACCTACAAGTTTATACAAACACCCTGTTTGCCTACCAAACACCTCCTAACCCTCTCTAACCCTCTCTAACCCTCTCTAACCCTCTCTAACACTCTCATATACTGTGGCAACAAATAAGTGTAAATCTATTACACAATCATTTATCAATCAATGAATACAGCAATACATTAATAGGCAGTAAATACAAGATTTAATGAATGTATTAAAAGTAATGAATCGCAGAATTTGATGGCATTGTATGAAATGGTATTTAATAAAAGTTTTGGTTAGTAATGATTTGTATCGCCACTCGTCAGCACTAATGCAGTGATCAATACATGATGTGAGCCAACCATTGGGTGACGTTTGCGTTGAGTCTGTGTTTCAATATAGTCTGAGAATATGGTTCTGTAGCAATGGATCAATAACGTCGTTAATATAATGCGTTAACTTTATGCTACAGTTATTACGTAATTATTGTAACATTGCTCCAGAAATAAATTACTCTGCGATAGTAATGTGTTATCGCATTGAGGAGTGAAACACTTGAACGCCATTTAAAAGCCATTCAAAAGCAGTCAGTATTGCAGTGAATGTTGTATTGAATTGAAGGCATATTTGTGTCGATCACAGCTTTTATCACAGACTGCCGTCTGATTGCGTTAAACGCCCACAAAATCCAACATTCATTCAATTCAGTCATTCATTAATTACTTTGTCTCACATTTTCATCGCTCATCCGATTGTCTGGCGGTTTGATTGACCACTTTTTTCATCTGTATTTCGAGGAACAAGTCTTAAGAAGAAGTGAAAATGAATGAAGAAGACTATATGCCGATCTACGGCCCATTCTTCGGAGTGATGGGAAGCGCTTCAGCGATGATCTTCTCAGCTCTGGGCGCCGCCTACGGGACGGCCAAATCGGGGACCGGAATCGCCGCGATGTCTGTCATGAGACCCGAACTCATAATGAAGTCGATTATACCGGTCGTAATGGCGGGTATTATAGCCATCTATGGTCTGGTTGTGGCCGCACTCATAGCCAATAAGATTGAGAGAGAGAGAGAGAGAGAGAGAGAGAGAGACCTGTACTCACTTCAACATTGAACCATAAAGAGTACACTACCCTGTTTAAATTTCAATTTTCTAAGCCTAGTTTATTTTGAATGAAAGGTACGTAAGTATTGACAATAATACTGTATTATACACAACAACAGTAGTTTGTTTACGAAATGAACTTAAATACAGTATATGGTTTCACCTTTCTCAATTATTGATCAATTAGTGTACTAGAATTAATGATGGTGTTATTTTTCTAATTATTTGAATGTACAGCAATGGAATTCATAATAAACAAATATAATAAGTTATATAGAATATGTAATATATTATATAAATATACACATAAATGTACATAACTATAAATATAAGGACACATTCAGTGCATTATTGCATAAGGTTAGTGCTTTTGAGTGCAATTTTCCTGATTCTACCTCTATTTGTGCCAATAAAACAATATTGAATGTTATAAAACATGATTGAATGCAAAGTGCAAATACATTGAAGTGTAGTTTAGTTACACTTATTATGGATTTGAGACTTAAGTTCAGTCTAAAGTCAAACTAAAGTGAACTGAAATTCAAACTTAAGAATATATCAATTTTAGAGGTCTTTTTATTAATATAATTATATTTTTTGACCAAAAATAAATGATTTAAAACACATAAAACCAATATAACTAATGTCCTGATATATAATATCATGCATTTTATCGCACATTTGGTCAGACATAGCGTACATTAATAGATAATTAATATTATTCTCGGCACAAAATCCTTCAAAACTCAAAAATTGAGATAAAAAATTAAAAATATATATTAAATGGTTATAAAACAAGGTTTGCAAACAAAGTGATATATTAACCATAACAGAAAGTAATACACTTAAAAATTATTATTTAGAAAATAAGTTTCTACTGTGATTTTTATATTTCTTAAACGTAGGAATGTTACTATTTTTGGAAATAATGAGCGATTTAATACAATTTTATATTCTTTTATAATTTTTAACTGTTATTATAAATACAACTTTCAGTATAAGTTAAACAAAGTTCACACAGCGATGCTATACGTTAACCACAATTCGGGAAATGCATCAAGGATTTTAAATTTTTCAATACTTTTGTTAGAATACTTTCACTATTTTTATTTTGAAAATTTTAAATGTTTTTGACAACAATTAGTTCGATTTATTATATCAGATTTAGACATAGACTCAGCATTACCCATGTTATCCCTATGCCATAGACTTAGCATTGCCCATGTTATCGTTATGCCATAGACCTAGCATTACCCATGTTATCCCTATGTTATAGATGTAGTATAACTCATGTTATTCCTATGCCATAGATTTAGTATTACCCATGTTATTCCTATGCCATAGACTTAGCATTACCCATGCTATCTCTATGCCATAGACTTAGCATTGCCCATGTTATCCCTATGCCATAGACTTNATGCCATAGACTTAGCATTACCCATGTTATTCCTATGCCATAGACTTAGTATTACCCATGTTATCCCTATGCCATAGATTTAGTATTACCCATGTTATCCCTATGCTATAGATTTAGTATTACCCATGTTATTCCTATGCCATAGACTTAGTATTACCCATAGACTTAGCAGAACGATCCTATAAACCACATTATTCATACTGAATTGTGGTTAAAAATATTCTGGTAGGAATAGAATTACAACTATTTTTATAGATTTCTAGCATTAATCCACAGGAATAGAATTATCCATTAAGTAATCATTAATTCCATAGAATAGCATTATCTCCATGTTAAAGAATAAAAGTGGAGATACCATGTTATTATAGATAGACTGGTGAGGGGGTGAAGTAATATTATAAACCTTAATGGAAACTGATATATAAGAAAAATTCCTACAGAATGTGTTGAGACATGTGTCCAACAGGTAAGTTAGACACAGCCTTAGCCTTGAAAATACTGGTCCGACCAAAAAATAAGAAACCAAATATACTTTTATATAAATATCAATATTTAAATGAATACATTGAACAGCAATTGCAAAGTCTTATCCGATTTGCATCATTCACGACAAACACATTTAGCGATACAAACTTCTATTGGCTGTACTGTTCACTCAATCCATATAATGATTATTGACGTATAACTGGAATGGAGTGAATGAATACACATTTCTGATACCTGGGATGGCGGGTATGGTATCGCAAAGCCCCGCCTTTTGCATGCATTGGAACTTTGGTTAAAAGTCAAAACACAGACATGTGTTTCAGTCATTGCATTCAAACCTTACACTCAAACAAATCTAATTCACTTCCAATACCAAGCGATTTATCGATCGGTTTATTGATTCTTGACTTAAATATTATAAACTTATTTAATATTATTATTACATAAATCAGTGTTTATTATATTTCGTTCATTAACTTTGGCTTAAAGATTGTACTCAACACTACTCTTCCAAAAGTAAGTTTGAAAACTTTTTTATACTTATAATTAATGTTATTTTTATTGTCAAAGAATTTGTTTTTCAGTCAATATATTTTTATTTAATTTATGATTAGTTTCTCATTAAAAGGAAAATTAATTATATTTTCGTTATTTCATTCACTTTGATATAACAGTATTGTAAAGAATTGTATCGATCTATTAATTATCTTTTATTCCCATTTTTGATGATTGCATGACTTAACTATAAAATGACATTTTTGTGAATTGGGAATTGGATTCAATTGAATTCAAAGAATTTTGCCAATAATTTCTTAAGCACTTCCCCTCTCTTTCCCCTGTTATTCATTAGATGATTGCATGATTTGTTGCCAATGTTTCCAATAGATCTTCTTATCTAAACCGCTAAATTGATAACATGTGCGACAGATTGCAGATATAGTGCACTATTGAGTGCTTTCATATTCTCCAAGTGTTTATAACTTTGCAAATATGTTCTCAATTAAAATTTAATCGATAGAAATCCCAAAAACAAATATGTTTTCAAAGAATTGTTTTGAACTGATTTGGCGCTAAAAAAGTATCGGGTATTGAAAAGTGTGAATTGAGTGAATATACAGTGAATAGCAGTGAAAAGTCTCACGCAATAGACCGGCAGAGTTTCACTGGGAGTCAAAAGGAAGTCATATCACGTTTTGCTGGTATAGAGTAATCATTAGTACATGTATTTAGTATTAGTTTGCATTGACAGCTGCGGGCGTCACACCTTTAACATAGAAATGCTGAACACATTTGATTTGTAGGTTTCCTCTAATTTCAGTATTCAATGCACTTATATTTTTGTAACTTTTTTCAATGATTTCATCAGCAAATCAGTTGAGTTTACAAACATGTATTCAGTTTCCCTAAAGGCATAGTATGTGTGTTTAGAAACCTGTACAGCAAAAAACGCATCATTAGTGCCACAAATAAACCCAATTATTATTCAAATTAATGCATAACTTTCTAATGAAAGAGATTTTCTTCAATATTAAATTGAGAAAGAATTTTACGTAATATTTTTTGCATAAATATTTGATAACAACTAATATATTGTACAGAAATTGATAGTAATCTTGAAAAGGGATTCATGAAATAATCAATTTTCATATTTAATGCCTAATATCCCGAAAATCGTGTGATGTTTTCGTTATCTAAAGTAAACCAAAACAGAGTTTGCAAACAAACTATTGGCGAAAAAATAAGATTTAGTGCCAAATGTATTGTAAATAAAAATATGAAATAAACAAGAGTTGTGTTGAGAGCCTGGGAGGCATCGAAAGGGTATTTTCCAAAAGCCTTGAATTGCGTCAACCATTCAAGTGTTACACATCTATACATCGGCTGATAATACGGCTCATAGAGAGGGGCTCTCACTTGACATCTCGTTTTGGTTCAATTGACTTTTGGCGTAAATAAATAAATAATTGATTGATTGAATCACCTGTTGTTCGCAAACAATATCTTATGCCAAACTGCAAGCCATTGGTGACGATTGAGTGGCGCGACCGCCGGAGCCAATGATCTTCACTTAATATCAATTCCTCCTCTAAACTCAATAATCAACAAAATATTTTGTCGATTAAATTAAGTCAATAAATGTTTCCAATAGTAGTTTGTGGACCTTTCAAGGCTGAAAAATAACTTCCCAGCTATTAGTTTAATATCAAATATTTTTTCTTATTTTATTATCCGTTTGACTGAATAAATCAAATAACAAATTTTGGCATTTGTTTGTTAGCAACAAATATCTTAATTATCATTGATTTGAATAATCATTTTCTTGACATTTTATTTTTCGTAAATGATTTATTGTATTAAAGAATTTTATTATTCATTATTTGATATTTAATATATTGTGAGTTAATTTAAAGAGATTTTTAATACAAATGTTAAGCATTTAAATTGAATTTGATGGACGATTGTCTTGAATGTTTGGTTAGATATCGACGAGTTTTGCAACAAATACTTAGAAATGTGTCATAAAATACATAATCATAATATAAAGCATACATAACATCATTCTATAAGTTAATTATCACCAAAGCTATCCTCTTCTTGATTATCAATTATCAGGTTTTTAAAAAACCGTAAACACCAATGAAATAATAGACTAATTCTAACTGTTTATATATGGCAACAGTCAGTCATTACAAGTATAATCAAAGACATTGGAAACAGTGAACAATTTCTTAAAATATTATTCCTTAGAAACAAACCAGACTTCATATCAATACTCATTTAAATCCTTAATTATCTCATTAATAAAAAAGTTTTGAACACTTGATTAGATCTAAACTGAACTCATTCTTCGGTTGAAGATTAGATGTGCTTTACTATTGTGAACACAATAAATATTTAAGTACTTTTCACTGCCTTAGTTCACACTCAAAGAACACTAGATTTGATCCAATCTGAACGTCGGCTCAATCGTATGGGAACTGTTTTTTGCTATTTAATCAATAATAAGAAATTTATTTAATCTCTCATTAAACGAGAATAAAGTAAGTTATGAGTAATTGTTTCTTTAGTTAAAATGCAATTTTACTTTTTTGCCAGCGATTAAAAACAATTGGAGTCAAATAGTATGCCTCACACCTCGATATTACATCATATTATTAATATTACGAGGAATTCATTATCTAATAATGAAATTTTATACCAGAAGAAAATAAATGGACTCCCGTTTAGAAACCTTTAGTATAAGATTACATGATTTAACAGTAATAGAGATTTTAATTAAATGTTAGGAAATATCATCAGTTGTGTCACATCTGATATTTGTTGAAATAAATATTTTAATTTATTGGTTTGGTTTTTAATTAAAATATAGCTTTTATTTATATATCATTCGTATATCACTCCAACATAAAGTTAACATTACTATAAATTTTCCATTAAAGACATTCTATTAATTAATTAAATACTTATTAACTAATAACTAAGAGGCTATCCTTTTCCTATCTTATCAATGTTTTGCAATACTTATGACGATTCCGTAGACTTGCATCACATATGCATTGATATAACTGTAATATAATTATCTGGGGATCGGGTGTGAGAAAAGCCAACCGATTTGGCCTCAAAAAAGGTTCGCGTCTTTAGAATGAGTACTAAAATAACATTAAAATAGACACACATTTTGTTGACTCTATTTGAAAGCCCAAAGCAATGAAAGCCAAGCTTTTTGTCTTTTGATTTGATTATTGTTTGAATCAAATGAATACCTTATCCATTGCTGTACGCATTTCGTCGACTTCATGGATCAGATTTTGGCACCTCTTCTGATTCAATGTTAACGAGTCGTTAATATCGGTGTAATGTCTTTGCGAGGCCTCCAACTCGAGGGTCAAATCCTTTTTGAAAAGTAAAAATAATGGTTACATAATAATCAATAAGCGATTGATGTTATAATGATTACTGAGACGTGTTTCCCCTGTTTTTTAAGCATTTTCTGCAAATCGATGATTTGTCTGTCCTGATCATCGATGGTTAGCAACAGATCAGTGACGTCTTGAGTGAGTTTACTCTTTATTTGATTGGTTTCGTGTCTCACTTTGTCTTCAGTATCAGTCAACTGTTGGACAACATTATCGATCTGTGACTGCAATTCATTGCTAAATATATAGAAAGACAGTTATAAACAATTAGTATATCATTTGATTCAATCAAATCTCCTGTAAAAGAAGCTTTTGATATAAATTGCATATAAATTAATGGACTCTTCATATCACTCGATATACTCGTGATAATCATTTGCTTTACAAAAAGGTGTAAATTCCTAAAAACTATTTATAGCCTATTAATAGTGGTATTCAATCACATGTTACTGATTATCAACTCCTAATAGTGAATAATTAATTATGTTTTTATTTAACTCACGTAACGATGGGTTCAAGGATTGAAAACTTTCAACGACTCAAAATAGACAGCAATTGATAAAAGAAAGTTTACAAATCAATTGTTAAGTTTATTTTTAGACATAAATCTTACAAATTGTATGACGAGATAAATTCAATCCAGTTTTAACATTAAATATTTTACACATATTGTAAATATTGATAGTTTGACAGGAAATCCATTCAAATAACAGTAACATATAATTATGTGAATCGCTCTCTGGATTCAGTGATTGAATTAAATATTTAGTCATAAAATAAACATTTAATAAGAAATCTATTATTAAGGGATTGAATGCGAAAGAGAGAAGTCGTGCCACAAATAAATGCATTAAATCATAAGAAAAAAGACAAAAAGCTTAAGAAAATATATTAATATTAAGTGTTAATAGGATTAAGAAAATAATAAATATTGAAGAGTGTATAAAATAAGTTAGTATTCAAACAAAATAGTGTTTGGAAACTATCCAAAGAATAGCTCCGTTTTGAGTCGATTTGAGTCTTGATATGGTCTCTAAACGAGACCTCTTTCTCTCTAACACTACAGCAAATCTAAACCAATACTAAACTCTCGCTCGCATAAGACTTGTCGGATAGAGATTATAGGCAACACTTCTCAGGGAATTTCTATACCATCTTTCCATCCAAAACGACTGATTGTGTTGTCCCTCGTCTTTGTTGAGTAGCGATTCCTCATAAGGAGTGGACGCAACCAAACCAATAGTACTCTCCGGTCTTCGGTGTCGAACCGAACGACTTCTTCTCAGCTTTGATTCTTCCAAATCGGCGCTAATATTAGCCAATGCTTTGCTGTAGTTATCGAATGACTCCGAGTGTTGCAGTCTTCGGCTGAAGGCTGAGGTCTCGTCAGCTCTGCCTCTCGTGGCGCTCAACGATCGGATCCGATCCGACTCGAGAGTGGCGGCGGTCACGGCTGCCGACGCCAACGCTCTCTGGCGCTGAATGATTGACTCCCCCGTCAATTGGCTGTCCGAATATGAGCTGAGATTGAGATCCGGCCGATCGGACCTGAATGTGGTTCTCGCGATCGCCTCATTATATTTGCGCTCAATATTAGAGATCTCATCGGAATAGAGAGAGTTTCCGTATTTGTAGTTATGGTTATAGATATGATTATACGGACGCTTCCAAACTCGAGGCGCTGTGAATTTCGGTGCCATTTATTTCAATCACTTGTAATTATTTACTAATTATGAATGAATAGCGAACACAGAAAACACCAAAACAAATATTACAACAAAACGGCTGAGAAATTAGTTAAACAAAACCTTTATTTGACTTTATGTACAGAAGTCTCATTAGTTTTACGCACTTTTCCACTCTTTCTCTCAGATCTCTGATGTAAAATTGATGTCAAACCCTAATGTCGCGCAAAATCGTTGCTTTTATCGTGTATTTGCATAAGTTTTTGTCGGTTCGCTATTTTGCCAACAATTTTCTTAACTTTCTTTTTGTTTATTTTTAGACACTTATATTTATATATAAGTATTAGTTTTGCAAAAGTAATGCATTTATGTTTTCTCGCCCTTGGATTCAAATAATAAGACCCAAACTCTAAATAAATTGAAAGTAATGAGACGTTTGATGGATTTAAAGGATATTTAAAAATAAAAATCTGTATATTTTTTGGAAAGACAATAGAAATACAATACGAAATATACTTTTGAGTGAAAGTAGTGTAAACACGATAAACGACAATCATAATGCAATCTTCATTCCTGTCCTTCACTTTTCTTTACCCTATCCTTGATTTTAGGTCAATATATTTGGAGACTTTTCATTAGACAGCAATTGATTTATGAATGAATTTACAAACCATTATATGCTATAAACAATTCTTTGACAATAAATTCCACGAATCGTTCACTCAATTTAAGCCCATTTCAGTACAATATAATAAAAATTTATTTTCTTTTGCTTTTATAGTTAAGACCACTTCAAGTGAATCCGAAGGAAGAAAATCATTTCAATTATTTACTGTCAATAATTATTTGGGAAACAGTTTATTGAAAATGTTAGAAACGATACAAAACTTCGTGAACAATGTGTCGACGACGACAAACGCGTGGTTACACTCGACACAAGAGGCCAAAACCTCGTCCTCTGCTCTTTGCTGGAAAAATCTAACCCAATATACTCTGTCGGAAGTGTCCGAACATTTCATGTACAACGACTGTTGGCTCGTTATATACGATTTGGTCTATAATGTGACCGATTTTCTCAATGAACATCCGGGAGGAGAGTATATTGTGATGGAGAACGCGGGCAGAGACGCCACCCTTGCCTTCAGGGGGTCTCGACATAGCAAAGACGCGGTCGATATGCTCGACAAATACCTGATCGGCATTCTTGTCGAAGTGAGTCTCACTCAGAATTACACTATTATTGACATTATTATCAATTTGTAGTCAATATTAACTAATGTCTTGTTTTGTATTGTTTAGAGCGAAAGGATATACACACCAACTGATGATGAATTGGCTCTTCAGAGTGACTCGTGATTACAAAACTATTGGAAAACTTTGTTATATTTGTCACTCATTTGTATTTAAAGTTCATTGAATTCATATAAATTTTTATATAAATATTGTATAATATATTTATATCTAATCTATTATTTATTTATTTTTACTATTAAACCAAATAAAGTAAATTATATTAAATGAATACTTGATTTCCTTCTATTTGTTTTGATTATATTATAATTGAATTAAATTATAATCTTTTTGTTTATATTCAAATGAAATTGAGAATTATATTCAATAATTCAAAATTAATTCTTGAAGTATATAAATATCAAGCAAATAGTTTCAAGCTTAAAATGCTTATTTATAAAAATTGTTAACGAAATACATTCAAATGATTTATAAATTTGTTTATAAATCTTTTGAATGATTTAAAACTTTTAAGGTTCTGAATAAATACATGTATATGTTTTAAACATGCTTTTAAACACTTTATGTTTAAATAACTGAATAGATATAAATTATAATTATAAATTACAAATATACAGTATATTCGCAACAACTAAATAAATTAAAATTATGCAAATATTTTCACAAATACTTTACATTATTTTATTACAAAAATAGCGTTATTTAAAAAATATATAACTTTTTTAAATATTTTATAAGTTATAATCAAATTTAATTTCATTAAAAATTATTTGAACTAATTATTTGTAGTTATAAAGAAATGAATGATAACTTATGAAGACTAACTTCAATAAGTCTGTAGATGATTGAGTGTTGGGTAGGCTTTACCAACAGTTAAGCAAACTGTAGAGTAGTGTACATAAGAGGCTCAGTATAGCCACGAATCGGCAGAAATAAAGGTTTAACATTTAAACTAATTTAAATTGAATTGAATTATTAAAGTATGGACAACCCTGATGTGGCCAACTTTGTGCGGACATCGGTGGAGCTCATTAATTTGCTGCTAATATTTAACCAACATTTAAGAAGCATTATTGAAAGGCACCCAAACAATGAAGTCTTAAGACCAGCTCTCGATTATATTCAATCTCGTGTGGATAAGTTGGTCAGACGGGCCCGAAGGGCACACTTGGCACTCATATCATCTCAACAACAGCCCCGTCCGTCCCCTTCACCCCAACAATAACTTACATTTGTTTCAATTTAATTGTAATTTAATATAACTTTTCAATTTAATTGTAATTTAATATAACTTTTTATACAATTATTATTTTAAATCTTAATTTGATTTTATTTAAATAGCACTACAGTATCACCACATTATCACTCATTGTATGCCATCTTTTCAAGACATTCGCCACCGATGGCTACCGTTTGACCCGTTTTCTGGGCATTATTTAATTGGAAATTTAGTAATAATAATAAAGCAATTCTGTTTCGTTTTACAGTTAAATAAATAATATCAAACTTTCTGTACAAATAAAACAATATATTTAATAATATTAATAAAAATGCTTAATAATTAACAATAAGTCAAACGATTAAATTAAATCAGGGTTTTATATATTTAACAAAGCGTACGGTTCCACAGGCCAGTCGTCCGCCAGAATTGCCCGATGTTTTGCTCTCTCGGTTTAGTCCGGAGCCCAAGTCATCGGTAAATTTGTGTACAACTAATGAGCGGCCGATTACACTATATTTGCCGATTAATGACACTTTTTGATCAATAATATTCACTCGACTGATGCCTTTCAGATCAGCGACAATATTGCCGAGATCTCCGATAAAAGCTGTGATCGACACAAATATGCCTTCAATTCAATACAACATTCACTGCAATACTGACTGCTTTTGAATGGCTTTTAAATGGCGTTCAAGTGTTTCACTCCTCAATGCGATAACACATTACTATTGAAACACAGACTCAACGCAAACGTCACCCAATGGTTGGCTCACAACATACCGAATGTCATTGTATTGATCACTGCATTAGTGCTGACGAGTGGCGATACAAATCATTACTAACCAAAACTTTTGTTATTTACCATTTCATACAATGCCATCAAATTCTGCGATTCATTACTTTTAATACATTCATTAAATCCTGTATTTACTGCCTATTAATGTATTGCTGTATTCATTGATTGATAAATGATTGTGAAATTGATTTACACTTATTTGTTGTTACAATATATGAGAGTGAGTTGTAGTGAGAGGTGAGGGGATGGGGGTGTTTGGTGGGCAAACTTTTGTATAAACTTGTATTAATAGGTATAGTGTACACGTAATATTTAGCTGAACAATTAGACCACGATTACTTTTACAATGTATTTACAGGTATTTATATGATGTAAGTGTAATGACAGTACTAATGAGTAAGAGTTATGCAATTATTTATTTCAATCATAAGGTTGTAGTAATTAAGCATTACTTCTGAATTGATGGGCGTTTTGGTTGAGTGAACGCTTATTTATTAAATTACTGTATAATTCAGTTTCAAATACTGTACAAGTATTACAGTTATAACTTAAATATTGTTTGAGTTTTTATAATTTTTAATTGTTTTTGAAAACGTGTTATTTGTTACAAAATATGAGAAAAAGTTTGTTTCGTTTGTTATTGTATTAAAGCGTATAAAATTTAAATAGTATTAATATGTTTCAAATCATGTTAACATCAAAATTTTCAATAAGCTATTACTGTATAATAACTTTTCAACTTTTTATTAATCGATTGAATTGAATTTATAGTAATTAAAATTGAGCATGATGATATAGTATTTTGAGAAATAAATTGGTAATGATTAAATTAAAACTATTTTGTAAGCATACATTTTAAAAATTAGAAATGGTCCATTTCAAATGGACATGCACAAAATTTAATTCAGATATTTAATATCTTAAATATTGTGCTGAAAATTTAAATGTTGGACACAGAATTATAATTTGGTGCTTATATTTGGTAAGCCCCTAACCCAACCCATTATTAATTATATGTAAAACATTTCTATCATAAAGTTGTCAAAAATAGCTCTATTAAACAAAAATGTCACAAAATATTTACCTTCAATTAGGCGAAAGTATGTTAACTTCGATACAAATCTGTAGTTATTAATGATAAGTGTTGTACAAAATATATTACACAAACATTTGTGCAATATTTTAAGCTAGAATTTTATAACGGAAATAGGATTGAGTGAAGCAAATCATATTATACTTATAAACTAATTGAAATAATTTTAAAAAGATCATTCAAATAGGTAATTATCATAACTTTTAAAGGTCATTTCGCCACTAACCTTGCTTTTCATACAAATATCTGATTTAAACAAACATTTTGTTTCATTTCATTTATGGCAAGCTAAACACTTTTTACTAAAATTCTCAAATGCACTATAATGACAAATAATATATGAAATTCTGGTGAAAAGTTTGGCTACATCTGTAGCTAGAGAAGCTACTGTCAGTACATTTGCTGCGCCTTAAAGGTCAAGAATTGGATTATTCTGTTGAGACGAGTCTTAATCCATTGTCACCTCTGGTGTCGACAAAGTTGTCTCCATTACCTAAACTACCATTGATTGGTCACATCGCAGAGCCATTAGAGGGCTCCCTATCGGAGCCATTTGTGAAAGCAGTGGTCGTACTTCGGGGTAACGGTATTACACACGGAGTCATTCATTTGGTTCAAGTGGGCGGCGGAGCGACTCATATATCGGGAGCTATCATAGGATTGACTCCACTTTATTCCCATGGATTTCATTTCCACGAAAAGCCGGTATCGTTTGGCTGTGAGAGCGCTGGAGAGCACTATAACCCGACCCATCAAACACACGGCGGACCCAATGAGCCCAACGCCCACAAGCCTCTAGAGCCGTTATAACAGCGACTAGACTTTCCGTAGTCAGCTCACTTATAATAACTAGTTTTTCACAGTAATTAGCCGTTTATATCACATTAGCCGGCGAGTAATCAACATGTGTTTAAATGTGATGACTTGGGCTCCGGACTGAACCGAGAGAGCAAAACATCGGGCAATTCTGGCGGACGACTGGCCTGTGGAACCGTACGCTTTGTGAAATATATAAAACCCTGATTCAATTTAATCGTTTGACTTATTGTTAATTATTAAGCATTTTTATTAATATTATTAAACATATTGTTTTATTTGTACAGAAAGTTTTATATTATTTATTTAAAACAAAACAGAATTGCTTTATTATTATTACTATATTTTTAATTAAATAATGCCCAGAAAACGGGTCAAACGGTGGCCATCGGTGGCGAATGTGTTGAAAAGATGGCATACAATGAGTGATAATGTGGTGCTATTTAAATAAAATCAAATTAAGATTTAAAATAATAATTGTATAAAAAGTTATATTTAATTACAATTAAATTGAAACAAATGTAAGTTATTGTTGGGGTGAAGGGGACGGACGGGTCTGTTGTGGCGATGATATGAGTGCCAAGTGTGCCAATCGGTGCCGTCTGACCAACACATCCACACGAGATTGAATATAATCGAGATCTGGTCTTAAGACTTCATTGTTTGGGTGCCTTTCAATAATGCTTCTTAAATGTTGGTTAAATATTAGCAGCATATTAATGAGCTCCACCGATGTTCGCACAAAGTTGGCCACATCAGGGTTGTCCATATTTTAATAATTCAATTCAATTTAAATTAGTTTAAATGTTAAACCCTTTATTTCTGCCGATTCGTGGCTATACTGAGCCTCTTATGTACACTACTCTACAGTTTGCTTAACAGTTTGTAAAGCCTACCCAACACTCATTCATCTACAGACTTATTCAAGTTAGTCTTCATAAGTTATCATTCATTTCTTTATAATTACAAATAAATTTAATTAATTCAAATAATTTTTAATGAAATTAAATTTGATTATAACTTATAAAATATTTAAAAAAGTTTTATATTTTTTAAATAACGCTATTTTTGTAATAAAATAATGTAAAGTATTTGTGAAAATATTTGCATAATTTTAATTTATTTAGTTGTTGCAAATATACTGTATATTTGTAATTTATAATTATAATTTATATCTATTCAGTTATTCAGACATAAAGTGTTTAAAAGCATGTTTAAAACATATACATGTATTTATTCAGAACCTTAAAAGTTTTAAATCATTTAAAAGATTTATAAATAAATTTATAAATCATTTGAATGTATTTCGTTAACAATTTTTATAAATAAGGATTTTAAACTTGAAACTATTTGCTTGATATTTATATACTTCAAGAATTAATTTTGAATTATTGAATATAATTCTCAATTTCATTTGAATATAAACAAAAAGATTATAATTTAATTCAATTATAATATAATCAAAA